GTGGAAGCATGGCCGGGAACTCCCCATGATTTTCTGCGCTTGGGGTTATTGTAATAAACCCATTTTTCGTCTCCAGTCACAATGCAATGCAGAAATCCCTTCCGTCTTTGCCTTTCAAGCAGTTGTTCACAAGCAAACAAACGCCGTTCAACATCTCTCGGCTTCAATTCGTACGGCATCCAATTTCCTTGCTTCTGAATCATTCCCATGGCTTTGAGGCGTTTTGAAATGGCTTGTTGAGTCACTCCCAATGATCGTGCCAATTCTTCTTGATTTTGACACGAGTCTTGATCAAGTAATGCCTCCAATTCTGCATCTTCGAAAACCTTCTCTCTTCCACCGCTATGCCGCTCTTCGACGTCAAAATCACCGTTCTTGAAGCGTTGAAACCACTCACGACACGTTCTTTCACTAATAGCGGCTTCACCATAATTAATTTCAGAGCATTCGATGAGCCTCAGCTGCAGATTTCTTCATATTGAAGCAGAAAATTAAAACCTCCCGCAAATGACGAGCATTTGACTCGTAAACTGACATTTTCAATCGAAAATAACTTTATGATGCAGACACAAATCGACTAATGTTTTTATGGGGTTATGTTGACAGATGCCCAAGTTTATTGTATGACGTATATGATCTATTTATTTCGACCACCACTTACCGCTAAAGCCATAGTCTATAGGAAAACGGCGGAAGCAAAGTTGTACATCTAATAACTTCATGGTTATGCGAATTAATATACAGAATACTAAGTTTTTTTTCCATTTCTGGATGTTTTCATGCCCATTAAATACAATGTTACAACATATAACTAAGTTACATGTAATATGTAATATGTAATATGTAATATTGTAATATGTATTGTAATATGTAATATGTAATATTGTAATATGTATTGTATTTACTAGGTGACCACATTTTGAGGTCTGTGCTGGACAGCCCTTATAGAAATTTTATATTATGACTATGATACATTGGCGAATGATAAATAGTAATTTTATTACTTACACGAAAGACAATAGTTATTATTGGCCAAATTATCATGTATTAATATAAAACTTCTATAAGTGAGATGGGAGGTTATGTTGTACATCATGTTTGTATTTACAATAAAACAGGAATGTAACAATAATAAAAATAAGTTTATGTACTTACTGGAATATCAGCCATGTTATAATAAATATGTAGGCCAAGGACAATTGTTTCTTTGTCTACTGTTCACTGTTATTCACTTTCTATTGTTTTCTGCGATGAGTCGATGGTGGAGAGTAAATGTTCGTACATCTGTGTGTAGATTACGTAATGGATTGACGGTTACTGTAGTCAGACAAACGTTGTATCATGACTAGAGTTAAATGCTACGAACGCTCCATAGCACTAAAGTACTGGATGTGATTGGCTTATATATATACCCAGCGAGAACGCAGACGTCGATTCGACATCGAATAGACGTCTAGAGAGATTGTAAATAATCGACAAAATAAAATCCCGAAATTTTAAACTTTTTCGAAAACTCTCTTTTAATGATCAATATATTGTGAATGGATTCTAAAACATTAAAATTTGCTCAAAATAGAAGACGTCTAAATTGCTATTTTCTAGATGTACATTTAGACTAGACGTAACTTAGACTTCTCCGACGTCGGTTAGACGTCGAATCGACGTCAGCGTTCTCGCTGGGTCGATCAAGACCCGAGTCAAACGCAAGAAGAACTTGCAGAATCATTAAATGTTGATCGATCAACGATTTCCAGTCCATTGAAATGATTCAAAAGCAAAGAAATTTGGTGCCGTACGAGTTGAAGCCGAGGGACGTCAAAAGGCGCAAAATGACCTGTGAATTGTTGCTTCAAAGACACAGAAGAAAAAGTTTTTTGCATCGTATCGCAACGGGTGATGAAAAATGAATACTCTGCAATAATCCGAAGCGCAGAAAATCAGGCAGGCCAGGCGAAACATCAATATCAACGGCAAAGCCGAATATTTATGGCGCCAAGCTCATGCTTTGTATTTGGTGGGATCAGCTGGGTGTAATATATCATGAGCTACTCCAACCCAACGAAACCATCACTGGGGAACGCTACCAACAACAATTGATGCAATTGAGCCGAGCATTGAAGCAAAAACGGCCAGATTACGCGAAAAGACACGACAAAATGATTTTCCAGCACGACAACGCTCGGGTACATGTTGCGAAACCGGTCAAGGAAACATTAAAAGCGCTTAACTGGGATGTCCTACCACACCCGCCGTATACTCCAGATATTGGTCCTCCCGATTACCACCTATTTCGATCGATGACTCATGGCCTGTCTGAACGGGAGCGTCCCAATTGACCACGGTACGATTGGACACAACCAACCGATGAAAAGAATTATCTAGTGAATTACTAGGTCGAACCAATCATTACAATCTATGTCCAATCGTATCGTGGTCAATCGGGTCCCATCCGTTTGAACAGCGCTTCCATTCTTATGAGAATACCAAAAAATGAGTCGATTCGTGGATAGCCTCAAAAGATGTGTCGTTCTTTCGACGTGGAATCCATCTATTACCAGAAAGATGGGAAAAAGTAGAAAGATGGGAAAAGCTAGCGATGGACAATATTTTGAATGATCAATTTGTAACCATTTTTTTACAATAAAGCCGTATTTTTACAAAAAAAATCCCTTAAAATTAATGCAAACTCCCAATAAAAGCACCTTGTTCCTACTTTTTCGAAAACAGTTGCTTCAACGGTTCTCAGCAACTTCACGGCAAGTTCATAGACAGGTGGCTATCTGGGATATTACTAAATGTTATATAGCTGTTATATATGTTGCTGAAATATTATATAGCTGAAATATAAATTATTATTTCCAAGCAATTATAGGTATTTAATTGTACGCAGAGATTATAAGCTATCATTCATACATTACTTAATTTGTAAAAACATTATAATTATATATTTTGTATAAAAAATATTTTTACTAAAGATAATAACATAAAAGTATCTTGCCATTTTAAATTAATTAGTTCCCAAATAACACAGGATATTCCAGAATCATCCTAGAGCTATTCTAGGCGTCAAGTATCCCAATATGTTCTGCAGCATTTTATGCTATTGGAGTTATTTTCATTTATTCATTTTCATCTTTCTATACATATTCAAATAGAAAGGATTACTATCGTAATAGTAATTTCTATTATCAAAAAGTGTATTACTTCTTTTTACTATAAAAGTGAACTCCATAGTACAAGTTGTGCGGTATTGTGATCATCGTTCTTATATATACCCAGATAACAATTCGTGCGAGCTCATATTTTCCTAACGCGTGCGTCTCACACCGTGTCCGCACAATGCTATCACGCTGTCCCGCACGACGTGATGGAGACACGCGTGAGAGCGCAATGAATCGCATTGTACAATGACGCCGTGAGTATCACGCCATGCGCACACGGTGCTACTATCACGCTGCTCGCACGACGTAGTGTCCCTAGAATACAGAGTCTGGCCATTCGTAGACCTTTTTTCATTGGTTTAGATCTGTGTTCCCTCACAATGGCGGAACGAATAAAAATGCAGCGGGAATGCACATCCGTTTAAAAAAATATAAATTAAAGGGAAATATTGGAAAGGAAGATTATTTCAGTATTGCATTTATCATAAATAAAATAATTAATATATCAATATTTTATGAACACAACTATGTATTTCTTATAAACACAACTTATAAACATAACATATTACTTAACACTATGATACATTGCCATAGTTTTACTACTGTATTGTCGAGTTTGTAATCCTCTTCGTTTACACGATATACGCATTCTATACATAATAAAACGCTTCATAATTTTACCGCCAGCATGCAATCTCTTTCTCGATCATCCGTAAATTCAGCAACTCGTTGTTTTATGATGTCAAATACTTGTTCACAAATGCCAGGCTGAAAATCAAAACCCTCGGATTTTCTTCGAAGTGTTCGTTGCGCTGGTAAAAGAATGCCCTGATTCAATAATTCCTCATAACCGCTATTACCATATGACAATTTTAATTTTAGTGCTTTTCTGATTGTAGCGTTTGACCATTTGCAACCTCGTGCAGACTGATGGAGAACTTTAATTTGATCATCATTAAATATTTTCTTATTGTTCTTAATATTTTTCAGGATATGATTCTCTTCCGTTAATTTTCTATTACTGTACATCAGTCATTTTACACGCTTTATGAGCATCCTCTTTGACTTATCTAATTTATTGATAATTAAATTTGCTTGCTGAAGTTTTAATTTCATTTCTTTTGATTGTTCCATAATTTTCTCGATGTCATCAATATTGTCCGTTGTCGATTCTATTACGTTGTCGATAGAATTACAGGTGAAATTTTCATTATTTATATTATTAATATTAGTAATATGATCTTCAGTCTAAAATAAAACAACCTTATTATTTATTGTACACTTAATATAAATGTATATATTTTTAACAACATATAGTTTATTCAAATATATAACATACATTTTATGTTAAACTTACATGTAAAGAAGCAGAACCAATGTCATTTGCACAGAGGTTGCACCATTTTTATTTTGACTACATCCGTTGTCCAAAAAAATCGTTGGAACTATCTCTTTTAATTTCTTTTTGCCATCACTACGTGGCTTTTCCCACATCTCAGCTGGAAAATGTGCCTATTGCATATTAATATAGTTTAATATATAAATGAAAAACTAAGAACACAAAGAGTATTGAGAGAGAGAGAGAGAGAGAGAGAGAGAGAAAATAAAGTTTACCTCGCAGATAAAATATATTTTGGACAAGTCGAAATCCCTACCAATATTCGCAATTCATTGCTTCTTTCGCTCCATATTTTGTGGAAGGCGATGCATAGAAAAACCCTTTTTCGAAGAGTTGGAACATTTTCTTACACAGCAGGAAGGCATTATATGTATCCTGTAATTAGTTTTATTTAGTGAAATTTATTTCAGTAATATTTTAAAACCAACTCAGTTACGAATGTTGTTGGCATTTTGAGCTTAGAGAGCGACTAGCTAGTGTATATTATTTTATACTCTTAAAGAGTTATATAATGTTAGTGGTATCTTTTATGTTTATTACAATAATAAAAGAAAATATAAAATATCTTACTGTATTACTTACTCTCTTGATATCTATTTTAGTCAAAACCACTACGAAACGACTAGGAAACTTCCGCTGTTCACTCATGACATACGCCATTTTGAGGGAATCCGGCCCGAATGGCCAGACTCTGTATTCTAGGGACACTAGCACGACGTAATGGGGACACACGTGCGAGCGCAATGAATCGCAATATACAATCATGCCGTAAGTATCACGACATGCGCACACGGTGCTACCATCATACTGCACGACGTGATGGGGATACGCGTGCGAGCGCAATGAATCGCATTGTACAATCACGACGTGAACTCCTAAAGATATATACTGAACTGCATGCACGTGCTTATTATTGTTAGTGCAAAACCAAAAAAAATATATGTATTAATTTATATGTATTAATTTCATATAAGGTTTGTTTGGCGTCGCATACCCCAACGTACTCCAACGCACTCTGGTTCACGTTACCACGCGGACCAATCAGAGTGCGCTGAAGCGAATAGGAGCAATTTAGAGAATGCGACGCGACGCGAACAAACCTATAATCAATTTCAATAATAAATAGTAATACTTTTACATTTTTATTTAAAGTTGTATTGTAGATATAAGATCACTAAACGGATTTGCCTTCATATGATATTCATATTGCTCGCACGCGTGCAACTTCACGGTTGCATTTTTTTATTTGCAACAGATGTAGCTGAATGCATCTCGTGGATGCATCAAGATTACACTTTTTAAGGTTACTAGCTAGTGATGTACTATCCCTAGAAAATAAATTTTCCTATTGGCTATTGGATCGTCGTATGTCTGACGTCAGGTCCTAATCAGTAATGGGAACGGTGCATTTGGACACAGCCAATCACAGCACCGTGTGATTAGAGACATTTGTAGGGTCCCTTGGAACAGCGACTTGTGATTGGACTGTGTCCAATTGCCCCGTGTCCAACTGATATACACCCATCAGTAATATATCAGTATTGCCTTTATACAAATTGTATGTGTGTGAGAGAGAGAAAGAGAGAAAGAGAGAGAGAGAGAGAGAGAGAGAGAGAGAGAGTCTAATAATAATATCAAATAATATAAAAAATGTCATTAATTGAAATCGATTTAGTACATGGAACATGGCCAGTTATTAAGGGATAAATAGTCCTCAGAATTAACTTATAGTGAATTCAGCAGCTTGCACTAGTGCGCATTGAGTGTGCGTTAAGACTTATTTACAGTACATTCTTATATTTAAGATTGTGTCTTAAGTACATATTTAAAAACATTTTAACTAATAAAATGATTCGTGCGGATGTTGTACATATCATATTATCGTTAAAAATATTTGATAATTTATTTAAGACAATCTTTAAATATAATAACATACTATGAACAAGCCTTAATGCGCACTCAGTATGCACTAGTATAAGTAACCGAATTCGCTATTAAGAGCATCATGTAACTTTCCCTTAGGGCGGAATCGTGAAAAGTAAAAAGATTCACGTGAACTATACGATTCCACCGTATCATGTAAACCATGAAAACATGAAACTTTTCACGTGAATTAGTTTGCCATGAAATGTGTTCGCGGAAAGTAGGAAATCTAGGGAAATAGATTGTAATAATGTTTAACTTCAAAATAGTAACATGGTTATGTGATAATTAGTTGGTTTGTTCTTTTGCTCTGCACTGCTGCACTAGTGCAGCAGTGCAGAGCGAAAGAACAGACCAAGTGTTTACGGCCGATCGTTTTGAGATAACGGGAGTTTACGTTGGTACTCTTGAGTCTGTGCATCTCAGATTTCGGTTCCGCCGTGAATGTGATTTAATATCCGCTGTTTTCATAGCGAACGAAAGGATTTACACTTGTGTGTAAATTCCTTATATATTGGTGTTTTGCGATAAGTGTTATCTCGACGTATTTCGCAGTCTCTACTTGTTAAGTAAATAGTGTCTCATTCGGGTGATCGCTCACCATTAATGATGACGTCACAACCGCTTATTGTTACAACGCAATGTGATATGGACATAACGGACAATGTCCCGATTTCCAAAACAGATAATGTTATCCTACGTCCTAAACTAACACATAAAAGGAAATTGGATAGCGCTGCTAATTCGCAATTAAACAACGTAAATAGTACGGATTCCTCGGTTGTCTCCTCGAGCTCAGTGAAGAAATCGCTGAATGATATCCCACCACACCTAAACAAACTAATGAAGAATATCTATCCAGTAGGACATAAGGGTCCTTATGAGGTCCGCATTGAAGGATATGTCTGCTCTAGGAAATCTATGGATAACAAGGATATCCCACACATTAGTGAAATACGTTTAGGCAAAGTTGCCTATCAAAAATTTGGCGACATTTGGAATTATACTTATGATCTCAAAAATGTGGGTTCACACAAGTTTTCTGTCAAATTCACTAAATGAGAATGTGCTAATGATATCATTAAAAAATTTCTCAAACACAGAGATTCTCTGTTCACACATTCCAGTTGGGTGTCGTACATACCCAACTATAAGGTACATCGCCAATGTATTACATGGGACTTTGATGCTTTTGAATCGGAGGACGAGATTATGGACAAACTTAAGCCGCCTCCTGGATGGTTTGGGGTGTGGCCCAAGTTATATTCCGTTAAGTGTATTAATAACAATATTAATGATGAGCAACAACCAAGTGTTCCGCCTCGGAGAAAGAGACGCCCTACGTATTTGCTAACTTTCGAGGGATACACCTTCCCTGATGAAGCCTCGTTTTATGGTAAGGTCATTAAACTAAGACCTTATGTTCAGAAGGTGATAAGGTGCAATCACTGCTTGCGGTTCGGACACATTGCGGATCAGTGTAGAAGTGCTCTACAGAAGGCTATTTGTCCTAAATGCGCAGGCGAAGGTCATTCGGGTGCTGAGTGTGGGGAGCAGGTGCGCAAGTGTGTTAACTGCATCAGGAAAAGGTACAAAATTATTGATCATTCGGCTGACAGTTTGAAATGTCCAGTCTTTATTGAATTTAAAAAAGTTAAAATCATTATGGCCAAACTTGGTCTTAGCAATTCAGACGCAATTAATACCTATAAAAAGTACTCCAATGAGATACCAGAAGATTGGTACAATTTTAAGACAACTTTTACTAACAATCTTCCATCTTTTGGCTCATTCTTAAATGCTTTTTATCCTTCTCAGACAAATAGCGGTTCATTTACTTTTGATTCTAATTGTAGTAATTAGTTTAACTCTAATGATTTTCCTCCTCTTCCCTCACAATCCAAAATTTTTAATCTTGGATTGCGTAGGGGAGGTAAGTTAGATCTAAAGAATATAACTAAGGATAACAAATCCTCTTCTTCCTCAGCGATTTCCTCTATTACCAACTCTTTGTCTTCGGGCGTTAATTGGTCGGGTGATAATAATAATAATAACTCTAATTCTAAGAGGCTCCCTTCTTTCTATACTTCTTCTCCTGCCCTGTTGGAGCATAACTCTCAGCCTCCTCTCTCTCTCCCAGAAAGTCCCCCTTCTATCCCTTCCCCTCCTTCTAAACTATCCACCAACCAGGAACCTCAACCTCATTCCTTAACTAGTTTTGAATCCACCAATGATACTTCTCAAACTAACCATCTCAAAACTATAGCATCTTCTTTCAATTCGTTACTTCAAAGCCTTATTTTTTCCACTGATAACATTAGCATGCAATCACAACTTTCAGCTATTTCAATTCAACTTAATTCAATTATATCTTCCTTATCCCCTGAAATATCTTTTAGTTCTCTTTAAATTTTTTCTGGGCTGACGTAATTAAGATGTCTGACAAACAGTTTTCGATTATTCAGTGGAATTGCAGATCTATTAGGGCCAGAGAGTGTGACCTATTCAATTTTATTGAGAAAATGGATAACCTGCCTATTTTCATTTGCTTAAGTGAAACATGGCTGTCGGATGACTCTAAAATAACTTTTAATAATTACAACATCATATCCGCCAACAGATCTCGAGGGGTATATATCAGTTGGACACGGGGCAATTGGACACAGTCCAATCACAAGTCGCTGTTCCAAGGGACCCTACAAATGTCTCTAATCATACGGTGCTGTGATAGGCTGTGTCCAAATGCACCGTGTCCAAGTGCACCGCTCCCGATCTCGAGTCGGCGGTGGATGTGCCATACTAATCAGAAAAGATGTCAGCTTCCTTAAGATTGAACTTATGGATTCATTCCTAGTTCGTAATGCTCATATGCGCTTGGAAACAGACATTTGTGGAATCAAATTTAACTGTGCCGGTAAAACTTTCCATCTATTTTCAATATATAATCCTCCTCTGTCCTCGAATTGCACCTCTGCAGCCACTCGTGATATTTGGATTAATCTTATAAATCATCTAGAAACATATCATAATGTCATTATCTGCGGGGATATGAACGCTTTGCATGGCTCTTGGAGTTATTCAACTCTTCATCCAAATATCATGGGTAATGTCATCTATGATGCTATCACTAATTCTGATCTCATTATCATGAATGATGGTTCCCCTACCTGGTCATCCTTGGACGGCGGCTCTTGTAGCTCCCCAGATTTATCCATAATTTCTCACTCGCTGGCGACTATGCTTGAATGGCATGTATTCGATAACAAACATGGTAGTGACCATTTTCTTATTCACATTTTGTTTAATCTCACAGCTCCTGATAAAATACTCTGTAGACCACATTATGTTACCTCAAAAATTAATTGGCACATGTTTTCAGACAGACTGGATGAAATTTCGGCTCCTCTCCGTAAGGATATTTCTTCACATGTAAATATTATCAATCCTCTGGCCTCATATGAGGAACTTATTAAACATATTTAACGCATCTCTTCTGCATGCTGGTGCTAAACAGGCACGGCATTCTGGAATGGTCAGAAGACCCCCATCTTGTTGGTGGGATAACCAATGCACCAACATTGTTAAGGCTAAGATTGAAGCGTACAAATTATTTAAAAAATTTCCCAACTCTAAGAATTTAAGAAATTATCATAT